ATTTTGTCGAAGACGAAAAATATATAAATAAATATAAACATAAATTTTTTATTTTGATTTAGTTTATCATAATTCTTTACAGATATTAATAATAACCAGTCGACAAATTCATATTATATTTAACTTTTTTAATAGCGGCACCTGTTCGAGTAATATATTTATTATAAGTCTAGTTTATATTTGATTTCTTTTTACATTTCTTGTTAAGGTTTATTGGTTGACATGAACAGTTTTTCCATAAATTTTCATACAAACTAAATGTACCAAACATGTTGGACAAGCATTTGAACGAAAATTTAAAATCGTTGACATTATTGTTATGACATCGTAAAATGATCACTATGATCTAAAAATAGCTTTTCTTAATTATTTTATTATACTGATCATACCGAAATCAATAACTTATCAACTTCAGCAAATTTTTTTAGGGTGTCCCAGAATTTATGAAAACAGCTGTAAATAATTAATTCACAAAACTTATTCAATGAGGTTTTATAATGTTAATATTGTAAACTTTGTTGTATTGACCAATAGGCAAAGCTATTACATTTATAACCGCAAAATTTGATAAAAATTAAACAATCAAATAAATTATTAAAAATTTTTTTTTCTTCTGAAAATTAAAATTAAAATTTTAGTATCAGACGTCAATATTTTTAAAATAAAGTTTAAATTATAGCTGTTTTCATAAATTCTGAGACAAACTAAAAATTTGCTCATTTTCTAAAATCTCTTCAGCTTCGTCCTATGAATCATCTAACTAAATCGCTTTCTCCGGACTGAAGTTTCAAAGATAATGATGTGATTCTGAAGAGTTAGGTGACCTTTAGGATGAAACCAAATAGATTTCAGGAAATGACAAATTTTTAATTTGCCCCAAAATTTATAAGAATAGCTGTAACAAAAAAAAATTAAAAATTAGGGCCGATGTCGATCTTTCTAATCGACACAAATTTTTTTACTGTGTAATGAAATCCCTTTGTGATACAAGCACAAATAAGCAAATTTCTTTTGGCTCTATGTAATGGTTTGTGGTTTTTGCTCCACAACTTTTATTTCCTATTTAGATGAAACTTAATTTCATATAACAATTTTTGATTATTTTATGATAATATTTTGCTCTGTATTATAAATTTCTTCCTTTAGATGAAACTAATTTTTATGTAACATGTCAAATTGATTATCTAATCATTGACATTATAAAATCAAAAAAAAAATTAAAGTTTTTAAAAATCAATATTTTGCCTATAAAAGTAACTTCTGCGTTCTAATAAAAAAAAAATAAAAAAATTCCTTGTGAAATTTTGATGTACGATCATTTTTTTCTAACTTTATTTTTGGCTATAAGATAAAGTTCTGTTGCTTTGAATCTTATATTTATTTAATTGTTTTCTGGTTGAATATTTTCTGATTTTTATATTATACCCGGTCTAGCTATTTTATAGAACTTCAGAGTTCTTGAAGTGTGTTGATTATATGTGTTATCTATCTATATGTTTTATCTATCAGTAACTGATACGATAGTTGTGATAGAAAAATGTACACTTAATAGATAATGTCTTGTCTTATATATACTAGAAAAACGAATACTGTTAATGTCCAAAACTAAGAATATACATCGGGCTGATCCATGTCGATCTCTATAGATGATTGGTTAGCATGTGTGCACGTGACTGGAACCTAACACAAAATCTGGACCGTCTACAGACACGTTACTATGCCAACAACTCTACTACGCCAACAACACCTTCAAATTTTCTGCGCATGCATGATACCGATCATCAATTTATAGTATTAGTAAGTTTCAGTTATTAATTAAAAAATGCATAATTACGTATGAATAACATATGAATAACATATGAATAACATATGAATAACTTATATATAATCAATTGAACTAATTTTTAAAAATTATTCTTTTCTTACCATTACTTGTAAAATAGAACAATTAATAAATGAAATCGCTACAAATATAACTGATATATTACAAGAAAAATGTTAAAAGTGCCAAAAGTATAAGCCTATAAATGAATTCTTTAATAAAAACAATCGTCCTTGTAAATCTTGTAATTCATATCGTTTACAGTCTTCAACATACTATAAAGAATCACTCAAAAATGATGAAAAGGAAATATTACTTCCTAAAGAGATGACCAAAAAACTTTATGATAATATTATTGCAATTGGCCGTAATGAATATTTTGAAAATGAATTACTTGGAATTGATTTTGAATGTGATATTACATTAGATGATCTTAGAAATATAGATGATAGTCCTCAAAAAATTTCAAGAAAAATTGCTGATTTAATTGGTAATAGCGATGGATATTATTATATCTACTTAAATACTTACTATTCGAAAAAAGCTGTTGAATTGTATATGTTCTAATATCGTTGTTCTCAATGTCAAAATTTGGCAAAAAAGCCATGAAAACATCAGGACCTTAATCAACAAAGAGATCGTGTATCAATGGAACGATTTGACTATGGTGGTACTCTTCGAATTACTATAAATATAATGGCTGATAGTGTACTTATATACCTTAAACATGAAATACTTCATCAATGTCCTGAAAGAAATCAGGTAAATGAAGAAATTAAAAAAAAAATTAAAGAAAATCTTCAATTAGCCCCAAGTGATATTTACAGTATGTTAGAGCAAGATTTTTCAGAAATAACCCAAAAGCAGATTCATGCATGGTGGACAATATTTATTCAAAAAGAGTTTATTCATGACACTAATCAAATAAAATCAGCAAAAATTTTTTTAGAAGAATGCAATCTTCAAGTTATTATGTTTAATAATGATAATAGAGTAAAACTTCTAGGCTTTATTACTCCATTTTTTTGAAAAACTTAAAAAAAATAAAGAAATATTTGTAAATACAACTTATAAGACGAATGTATTAGGATATAAGCTTTACTCTATAATTGGTCAGTATGACAGTGCAGATTTTGCAATAGCATACTTATTTGTTGAAGAGAATAAGCAAGATGGTACATAAACAGAAATTTTAGCTGAATTTTTTAAAGTACTATATAATTTCGGACTAAATCAACTTGATTACATATATACGGATAAGGACTTTGCTCAAATTTCAGCAGTATGACAAACATGGGCAAATATCAAAATACAAATTTGTTATTGATATTTCAAACGAGCTTTTAAAAAGTGATTGACAGATAATTTACAACCAAAAAGAATAATTTACAGCTCTTATGATGTGCATAATTCATTCAACTTTATTGATATTGAGTTTTATTCTACAGAATTGCAAAAAAATACTTTTTGTTTTTGTTCAAAAAATCTACATCCTCAAGTTATTTTAATTATGGAACGTCATATGCATTTACATACTCTTATTCCTAATTTAGAAGAGATTTTTAAAACAAAAGTTGAAATCTGGACACAATGTACAAAAAAAATATATGAATTCTGTGTTACCAATAATCTTAAACATTTTTGGTCTTATTTATGAATAAATTAGTACCGTAATAAACTTTGGCAACTTTGGGCTCGCTTTGCAATGTCAGATCAAATTTGTGTCTTTTGCACTACTATGCTTGTTAAGTCTCACTAGAAAGTTGTCAAACACAATTTTTTATACAAATTCTTCAGACCACAGCTTTGATTTTGTAACCTATATTATTACTTCACGGCTTATTCCACACCAGCAACAACAGTATTACAAATATTGTTCTAAACATAAAAATTCTTCATGGTGTAAGGACTTTAAAAAAGAATGAATTTTATTAAAAAAGAAGGATATTAATAATTCTTATATTATTAATATTGAAAAATGGTTCTGCAGCTGTACTAGATTTCTAATGAATCATTTTTTTTTATACAAGCACTTAGTTCAATCATCTTTATTTTTTACTAACCCAGCATTTTTTTATAGTGTTCAATGACAAGATATTTATCCATTTATATACTTACCAGGCCAACAAACTTCTGTACAGCTGTTAGTTGATATAACATTAGCACAAAATAATATATCACATATTTCATTATTAGGTAAAAATATAACTTTAATAAATTTATGACTTATATAATTAATTAAGCATTTATAAGGTGTGGCGACTTAGTGTAGTGGTCTAGTCGTCACCCTCTCCAAGTGGCAGGTCTAGAGTTCAAATCCCACAGACA